CATTTATAACAATTCTAATTTTTTTCTTCTATCATGCAGTCTTCTAATATTTTCTTATTTTTCCCATCAAAAATCACTATGCAAATTCCAGCCAAAAAAGAAAAAATTTCTATCTAGAGCTCTCAATATTATTAACTTTTCTGATTTGTAAAAGGCAAAAAACAAACACACCATAAAACAAAGCAAAATATAGGACATCTAGTTTTTTGAGAACTTTCTAAATAGTTCCAGAATAAAGTATTCTGACTTCACAGCAAACATTTTCCAAATTAAACTGTATTTGATGCTGATATTGACAGCATATCCCTATGTACTCATGTAACCGGATATCCTTTTTAAAAAAATCAAGGGGAGGGCTGGCCGAGTGGCTCAATTGGTTAAGAGCTTGCTCAAGAGTGCAAGCTCTGAGCAACAGCGGTTTGATGCCCGGCCTGAGTTGAGCTGCTGCTGAGCTGCCAACAGGTGGCAGGATGGCTCAGCTATAAAAAATAAATAAATAAATAAATAAATAAATAAATAAATAAATAAATAAATAAATAAAAAATAAATCAAGGTGAAATTCATATAAAATTAACGATATTAAAGTGCACAATTCAGTGGCAATTAGCACATTCAAAATGTTGTGCAACCATCCCCTGTATCTAGTTCCAAAACACCTTCATCACCCCAAAAGAAAACCAATTAAGCAGTCACTCCCTGTTCTCCCCTCCCCCGAAATCTGCTTTCTGTTTCAATGGACTTATGTATTCTGGATATTTCATGTAAATGAAATCATACAGTATGGGACCTTTTGTGTCTGGCTTCTTTTATGTAGGACAATATTAATACATTCATAGGTTCATCTATATTGTACCATGTATCAATACTTCATTCCTTTTTATGGCTGAGTAATAGTCCATTGTATGTATATACCACAGTTTGTTTTTCCATTCATCCATTGGTGAATATTTGGGCTGTTTTCACCTCTTGGCCACTGTGAATAGTGCTATTATCATAAGTATACAAGTATTTGTTTGAGTTACTGTATCAATTCTTTTGGCTATATGCTTAGAAATAGAATTGGTTGGTCATATGGCAATTCTATGTTTAACTTTTTGAGGAACTACCAAACTGTTTTCCAGAGCAGCTGCACCATTTTACATTCCCAGCAGCAGTATATGAGGCTTCCAATTTCTCTATGTCTCTATGTCAGTTTTTATTTTTCATTTTATTATTATAGCCATCCTTGTGGGTGTGAAATGGCATCTTGTTGTTTTGATTTGCATTTCTCTAATGACTATTAATATTAAGCATCCATTCATGTGTTTGTTGGTCATTTGTATATCTTCTTTGGAGTAATGTCTATTCAAATCCTTCACTCATTTCTAAATTCAATTATTATTTTTTTGTCATTTGTTTTGGATACTAGATCCTTATCAGATATATGATTTGCAAATATTATCTCCATTCTGTAGGCTACCTTTTCATTTTCTTCATAATGTCTTTGATGAACGAAAAGTTTTTAATTTTGATAAAGTTCAATTTATCTATTTTTTTCTTTTGTTGGCTGTGCTTTCAGTGTCAGCACTAAGAATCTACTGCCAAATCCAAGGTCATGAAGATTTATGCCTAGGAGTTTTATAGTTCCTAGTTGTAGTAATATAGTTGTAGCTCAGATATTAGATGATTAATCTTGAGTTAATTTTTGTATATGGTGTGAGGTAGGAGTCCAACTTAATTTTCCATGTGAATATCTAATTGTTTCAGCACAATCTGTTGAAGAGACTATTCTTTCCCCCATAGAATGGTCTTAGCACCCTTGTTGCAAATCGATTACGCATGGATGTATAAGTTTATTTCTGAACTCTCAGTTTTATTCCATTGGTCTGCAGTTATCCATTTAAACTATATTTTTCTAAGTGCTCAAAGCATAAGTACAAAAGAGTTTGGACAACAAACACTACTCCAAGATCTTAGTTTGAGCTAAAGTTTCCCACTAGACTGGTGACATGCTTTCTCACTAATAGCAACCATACCTGTGAGTTATATCTTTGTATATCTTTGTAGGGATGATACCCTAAACTGGCACAGATTTTAAGCATCCTCTTCCTGGAGCTGGCTTGAGGAAAAATGGCGATTCTTTAGATTTTCACAAATCAACTTCAGGTATTCTCATCATCAACTTGTATGGCAATGAGATAGCATTACCAACCTTCCTCATCATCGCTAGGAACAGCAGGGTGGTAAAAGAAGAAAAAAGGTGCAAGCTTCTACTCTCAGGAGAGCTATATCAATTGTCAGCAAGAGCTAATAAACTTGAGCCAAGTGACCAAGAAAACAGTTTACCACATACCTACAGCCATCTGCAATCATTACTAGTAACCTCATGGCCACACATACTGTAAAGATTTCATTGGAAATTGTGTGAACACTTAGTGTTTGCTGCAAATGAACTTGTGTTCTCTTGATTTATTAATTCAGGAACTAGTACATGGAAACAGGCAAATAAAAGAAGTAAAGTGGTAAAATACTATTTTACGTTAGTTCCAACTTTGAAGCTACTTGCAAGACTCATTTTCAAGATAGTTTTAAGGAAGAAAAGTCTTAGGAATTATTTTTTTATCCCCATATTACAAAAAGTATAAATTATTATTTTTTCCTTTTTTAAGTTTTTTTCACTAATCTTCTAGTAGCTAAAACATAACCTAACTAGCCCTGATCTACCAAGTCTACTGTTCTCAACAATGAACACTGTTAAGGGATTTATTTATAACTCACAGAAGAATGACAATAAAAGGTAGACAGAGGGTCATAAATTCTAAGTGTGATATGATCATGGAAATATCCGTCATTTTTACTTTTAAGAGGGAGGGAGGTAGCTTCTTTGGTGCCAGAGATGCCATTAGAATTAGATGCTCCTTGAAATTTACTCATGAGATATCATAAGTCTGCTTCTTTTCTCATATCATCCAGGGAGGCAGAACACTTATGAGAAGCAACAGAATCAGTCATCCGGTTGGAAGCTGTCAGATGTTGTATTAGGTACTGAGAGGACGCTATCATGAAAAAAAGCTCTACCCCGGGATGTAATAATCCTGCTTCCTTACATGAGAGGCTTTCTCAGTTTACAGGGAATATCTTCTGAAGGGCTATACATAAGACAATATTCTACCTCCTGATAAATCATTAGGTAGGTGATGAGGGTCATACACGAGGGAAATCTGACATTTCACCAACCTCTTTTAGGTGGTATATTCCTTAGTACATCTTCCTCTCTTCTTTCTCTCCATGTCTTAACATGAAAGTACCAAGGATACATGACACTGAGTAAAAAAATAAGAGTCTAGAGTAGCCTGGACTAGGAAGGTCAAATTAATAAGGCAGAAGAAGGGCGTGGGGGAGGGGAGGGGAGGGCCATGGGGCTGGGTAGAAGGGCTGTTTTCTAAGCTAAACACGCTTGCTTAACTCAGGTCTCAGTTACTTGGAGCAGTGCTTCTCAAACCTGAACGTTCATGTGAATCACCTGTGGATACTGTGAAAAGGGAGATTCTAATTCAGAAGGTCTGGAATGGGGCCTGAGATTCTGCAAGGGTGTAAAGGAGATTGTATTTGTCAAAGGGAAAGATGATTTTCAGGGAGACACAACCAGGACTCTGAACAAAACCACAAAGTCTACCTTGACCATTCTACTTCCTTTCCCAAATGTCTCTCCTTTTATGGCTCCTCATTCTTTCTGTACCTGAAAATTCTATCTCATAGAGGTAAATGAGCCTTACAAGTAAGAGAAAGGAAGATCTCTCTCCTTAAACTTCTAAAACAATTCCCAGTCTTAACTGCCCTTTAATCCAATTTGATATTGTTATCCTTAATGGTTAAAGCAATCCAGATTAAACTGAGAATTAATGATAGCTTTACTTCTCCAAAGGGGCACTTCTATTGTAAAACACTTATTTTTTCAACCTATAGTAATATTCAGTGGGGAGACTGTTACGTGGAAAATATTTTTGAGATCCACTGTTCCTTACCCATCTGGGGTAACATACCATTATTTCCACTAAACTTTAACTGGTCTGCTAGNGTTTATTTGGAGAAAAAAATTAAAATCCAATTATTTTAGAGAAAACATTCCTCCCTGAAATCAGCTCAAAGGAAAATATCTGATAAACCAGCAACCTACAATATTTCAAAACAATGCTGCCACCTGCTGGAAAAATCTGTAATGTTTTCATCATTTCCCTATCATGATCTTCCTATTACCTACTGAAACAAGACAACACCTTTTTAATAATTTTGACCATTTAATTTGTCTGATTCTTAATAACTACATCTTAATTGAGTGCCAACTCATTATAATTTTTAGTATATGTAAATATAAATAGTTTGAAGTGACAGCATCAAAAACAATGCAGTTCTGTAAGTACACCTAACAGTGCATGAGGCAGGTTTTGAATTATCAGATGATGATATATTCTTCCTGAAAGGAAAAAAAAAATTAGGCTGAGTATCTTAACAGAAATTTGATGCTAGTAATGAAACTAAATTTAGAAGGTCACTGAGTAAGCTAAGTCTGAACAAGAACCACGTTAGAAGTTATGGAAAAGATACTCTTATTGCTAATCAGAGTATTTAGTCTCTAAAAAATAATGGGGCCCATTTATCATAAATAAAAATATACCTTAATCACCTATTTTAATATTTTGTAAAACTACACTATCATGTCCTGTGGTTTTAAATTTTTTTGCTGTTTTTGTTTTTATAATTCTAGGCCCATAAAAATCTCAATTCATTTAACAGCTGTTTTTTGAGTACCTACTCTGTACCCAGGCACATGTACATAAAGCTCATTTAAGTAGTTAGAAATGAAATCATCACCCACATTTCATCTGAGGATAATAATCCCTAGTTATATGTTTGTTGTAAAGACATGAAATAATCAGTTAACATTCAATGAATGCTATCTATCATTAATGTAAGCATTANCATTCATATATGATCCCAGATGTGAGCACAGGGGACAGAGAACCACGGGGATGACAGGCTGGGTTCAAAATCAGGAACTAGAAATATGTCAGCGCTTCATTCTTGGTCTTGTTGGTCTGATAGCTGTGCAAGGCCAAGGGTGCATTTTTCACACGGTAGACTTTTAAACACTCGAAGGTACACAAAGTCGTCATTATCAACTTGAATCTTGATGAAGTAGTTGGTACCCGCAACCAACTGGCTCTTGAACTCCATAGCCTTAAAAAGGGGGTACCTCTTGTTTGCCTTCTCCTCCAGCTGCGGCTTCACCATGTCGGGGATGGACTGGATCTCGCCTGTGGTGGGCTGGACGGCTGAGCAACCTCCGCAGAGCGTCCTGGCAGCAGTTGTGTTGGGTATCGGGCACCGAGCAGTGGGGCACTGAGCGGCGCGCACTAGAGCAGAGGGCTGTGATTGCGGCTACCCAGCATGGTGGTCCTCCGCCTAAAAAATAAATAACTTCCAACATGGGCCAGTGAAAGGACGTCCTCCACAACTAGACTGAATTACAAAAAAGGACAGCAACTTGTCTGTTCCTCTTCACAGATTCCCCAACGCTGTTCCCCTCCCCAAATTCCCCAATAAAATCTTTAAATAAACAAGTAAATAAATAAATAAATAAATAAATAACTTTATATGATACATTTAGCTGAAGAAAAAGAAAAGCTTAATTAGAATCTCTGGCAAAGGTGCAATTTGTCACTTGGACCACAAGAAGGCAATAAAGATTAAAGGAAATACTAGCTTCTTCAGTGCTAAAATCACAAAACTAATTTTTTAAAATAACATATAAATTCTTAAGTCATTCATAAAAATGGAAATTTATTCTAACAATCAAATAGTGAAGTCTGCAATATGGTTCTGAAGATACTTTTCTACCCAACCCCATTCAATTGTTAACTCTCAAAAGCAAGGATGTCAACTTGATTTTGTAATTCTTGTAGAGTAAGTAACACTTAGAAAGTTTTCGAATAGTAACAGAAATGAATTATTGAACTGAGCAGTACTTTGAGAAGAGAGAGAGATAAGTAAAAAAAGTAACAGTTTCATCTGATTGACACTGACACAGAGAAACTGGGTTCCACGCAGGGGCACAAATGGGGTTCATCACTAAATGACTTTGATGAATCAACACTAGATATATTCTTCTTCCTCATGGGTTATAATTATTCTACAAATACTGTGAATCATAACTGCTAGGAATAGTGTCTAATTCACAGTATTTAATAATACTAATTATCATTATTGTCATTGACATTATAATTCTTAATGTAAAGCAATTATGCAACCCTCAAAGTGGACAAGTATTGAGTCTTCGGAAAAGTCATGACGCATGTTTGCAACAGATGGTGCTGNCTTGTAGCCTCAAATACTCTCATTTCACTTCCCCTACCATGGTAAGTGGCTTATACTTCACAGTATACTGAAAATATGATACAGCACAGGGAAAAGTATTCAAAATTTTAAATCATAAGTCACTGACTACAATGGGTCTCCTATACTTAAAAATCTCATTTTAACAATAAATTAGCTAGCCAAAAAAAAAAATTAAGGGACTTAGGAAGGTTTGGTAAGGAATTTTCCACAGTTAGATCATACTATGGGAAGACAGCCAGAGAAAGGTATCGCCTACTGTGTGGAATATTATTAGGAGAGAAAAATGAGACTTTTGCAGAAAGAAAGGATGAACACAGGGATTAGTGTTCATTATCTTTCACTTTGGAGGGAGCACATGACTCAAACCTCTATAACACTTTCATGGTTTACTCGATAGTCTAAGTCTCTCCACATTCATGCTACTCATTAGATAAAAATATATTTTCAGCATATGTGAGCAAATAAAACTTTATACAAATTTATTAAACAAAAGACATTTTTTAATAAATCTACTATAGTCATCAATCTACTATAGGTCCAAAACAGCAATAATTTCTTATTGCTGAAACAATTTGTTTGGAGTTTTCACATATCTTATTTAGTAATTTTCAGAAAACTTATAGAAGAATAATCCTCCAAAATGATACATACTAGAAAGAAAAGACAGTGATCATTAAATTTTTTGTCCCTCCAGCATCAGTTTCTTAAAGGACACAGTTAAATGTTAATGATTACAATTGCCCTTATTAAAATTAAAGCTTTAGATTTCTTGGTTTATTTATTCATTCATTCAAGATTGTAGTTGCTCCAAATGTTCCTGAATATGTCAGCTTTTCGACAATTTAAGCAGTAGCTACAAATTTAATTCTGCTGGCTCTAAACCTGACCCAGATGCATGTCTGAGACTCCCTGAGTTTAAAAATTGGACTATGTCCTAGTCCCAAAAAAGATATAGGTGGGTGTCACTGATTGGCTGGGAGTCAAAGTACTTGGTTGCCAATAATTCAGCAGGACAATTCACAGGTGGCCAGTGAATAAGCTTTTCTCCAAGATGTTAATACCTCATTTAGAGGCTGCTATTTTACACATTTAAAATTTTTTGTTCTTGCACAAGCATATAATTAAAAAATACAAGGAGGACGGAATCCAAGCACAATAAAGGTAAGAATAGAAAGGGAGATCCTGAAAGATTTTACTTGCTAATGGATATAAAATGGTGGTCATTAAAATAATTCAATAAAAAATTATTAGTTGTAAATAATTGTGCTTAATTATTTTATTTTCTAATTAAACTCTAATGTCTTATAAACCAAAAGCAAGTTATCCAAATAGAGTTCAGTTAAGTTTTTAACTCCAGTATTAGCAGCTCTAATGTGAACTAGACAAATGGTTTTATAGTTGACTAAAATCTGACACTAGCTTTGACCCATTTTCCTTTCTTATAATTTAACCAATTGTTTTTACAGTATTTCCAACGATTCAGTTATTTTCCTTATTTGGACATCCTGCCTAAATGCAAACATCTTAGTGAAGTCATACACAGTTACAGGAATATTGCACAACAGAGTCAGACAGACTTTTTTATGAGTTTCAAAATGACTGATTGGAAACTATACTGCAATCACCAAACCTTTGTGTTAAGACATGTGCCACAGTTATAACACAGTACTGGGTTACTATCATTGGTACGTGTCAATGCTTTCATTATAAACCTTGTTGCTTCCACAGTTTTGTGAACTAGCTATAAAGCTTGATTTGGTTTTGATAAATAGAAGATTACTTTCCAAAGAAAAACAGATAAAAAGTTGTAAATGCAGCAGACATGAGATATACACATATATAAATAAAATAATAATGGCACTAAAGAGAGTTCAATTGGTATAAAAGAAGAGTAAGGTATGTATTGTGTGGTGCATATGAATAAAAAGTAGCATACTACAAAATCACTTTAAAGGTCATTTTTGTTAAATTATACTGAGAAATTATAGCCTGAGTTCTCATGAGCTTTGAGCCAGTAATAATCTCTTTCAGATTTCAGTTACCTTATCTATAAATGAATAAAAATACCCATTCAAAAGGTCTTCCATCTACAATTCATACCTAGGAGGAAATAACAGTCTTAAAAAGACACACACGTTTTAAACAGAGACAAACGAGGTTA